CACACACACACACACACACACACACACACACACACACACACACACACCAGTCTAGTGGGTCGTTCTTCATGCGGAGGTTGTCTCGGGGAAAGTAACCGGGCGGGTAGCGCAGGTTGTGGTACTGGTCCCACAGCACCCTCTTGCTGCGCGGGGGGGTTGGCACGATCTTCACCTTGATGGGCAGTTTGACCGTGGAGGTCATCTCGCTGCCCGCCTCAGACTGCAAGGGGTGAAAGGTCATGAAGGTGAACGGGTTGGAACTGAAGAGGAGTATCGAATCACACAATAAAGATACTCTAGAACTAGAACTTTAATCACAAAACTACATCCACATATGGAGGTATGCTGATCTTGAATACATTAATAATAATCAGTAAGCCACATGTTGCCACTGAAGGTGCTTGAAAAATAGTTAGCTAAAAGTAACAGATACATGGTTTAACTAGATAAACAAAAGGATAAAAGTTATTTATGAGCAGCAGCGCAAACGTGACGAAACCAGGAAAAAGAAGACTTTAAAAGCTGCTTAGAATTCGGAGGTCAGGTGTTGCCGCGGTGACTCACGGCGTTCTCTGCAGGCGAGGCCACCGTGACCATCACGTGACCTTGAGCGATCCCTTCCCACGACGCCGCTTTCTTGGCCACGGAGATGGACACGGCGAGGTAGCCGGCCCACGGCCACAGCACAGGCGAGTAGGAGACGGCCACGTCGATGTGGTCGCCGTTCTGAGGGAGGTATGGCTGCCAGATGGGCTGAGCGGGAGGGGGAGAACATCTTTAGAGGCGAGTTAAGGATGGGACTCGTCCTTCACTCGTCCTCTTAACAGAACTTGAGGAAGTAACATTCAGTTGTTTGTAGAGAAAATATTTCTGTTGATCCGTGTAGTTTTGTGCGTTCACCTTGTCGACAATCCTGCCAGTGACACCCATTCCGTTGAGAATGGTGACGTTGACGATGGTGGGCATCCCTCCGTAGTAGATGGGCTGAGAGCAGTACGGCCACATGTACGGAGACTCCGTCAGGTCGATGTAGCTGGGAGAAAGACTGGCGGGAGACGAGGACGGGAGAGGATACTGTAGAACTTGGTTTTTACTGAAACTAACCTGTGACTAAAACAAATGTGTGGGAATAAACTGCAGAGAAATTACTTTTATAGCAGGATTTCCACCAATGTGTCTTTGTATGTAGAAATAAAATAAAATAAATAAAGCTCCTGAAACAGCATTTACACAGACAGACATCCAAAACTCTCCATTGAATCATACGTTACATCCATCTTATCTAGATCTGTTTTCTGCATTAAAATGTCTACATGTATGCATGTATATACGGACACAGTTAGGTCTGTGTAGCTGAGGAACAGACCTGGGGCCTGTTGTTACGTGTGTGCAGGTTGCTCTTTCAGGATGTACCTGGCCTGAGGCTTGTAGCTGTTGAGGATCTGGTAGGCTCTGATCAGGTCTAGCTTCCCGTGGCCCTGCTCGAACATGTTGACCCCCGGCAGCCTGCGGGCCGAGGCGATGAGAGCCTGCTTCATGGAGGCTGGGTTCACCAACTCCCTGTTCAGGACGGTGCTGGAGGACAGAATAAGACTGGGTCAGTTTGTATCCGCGAGCAGGCTGGTGTCAGATTACACAGCTTTTTTAAAATTCAAAACAGAGCTATAGGAAAGAGGAGGGATGGGCTGGGATGGGCTGGCGTGTGTGTGTGTGTGTGTCATTCTCCTGGGAGAAAGGAGGAGGTGGCTGTTCTCATTGAGGGTGGTGTGATGTTTAACCCAGCAACTTGAGCTCACAAAATGGGCTCAGTTACCGCTCTGTAACGAGAGGGCTTTCACCATGTCGGCTAACATCTCCTTCCTCTGGGACACATTTCACTGCCCGCTCATGTTCAGGATTACAGCACAAGACATCATTACACCACATCAGGCTAAAGAAAAAACACACCCTGCATGTATCCTGAGGTGTCTAACTCAAAACAGTTTGGATGCTTTTCAATTTAAATATTCAGCATTTGAATCTTAGGAACCCCACTCGAGTGTGGAGAGCTGTCCTCGCCGGTCCTCCCATTCATTCCAATGTAGATGGTGTGTTTTGCAGGTATATAGTCATAAATCAACGTATTGGAAAAAATTACAAAATAAATTGTCAGGTGAAAACAACATGTACTGATGAAGATGCTCGAGGGAAATTTAAACGATGATCAAAGTCAGCAGGATAAATCATTGTAACTCAGCGGTTTAATGTCTCGCCAGAAAAATATTAATCAAATCAAACCAGTAACAGCTGCAACTTAACAACTTACCTTGAGGTAAGAATCCCCTAAAAGACCCCCCAGATGAACACAGACACAACAACAGTTTCTAGCAAACATCAAACTCCTGTCACTCCATGACATCATAGGCCGGTTGACGACACTGACCTCGCTAGGAGAGTGACGGCGCCGGCCACCACGGGGGACGCCACGCTGGTGCCGGACAGAGAGCGACAGCCCTCCTTCATCCCCGACCCCCGGACGCCAGAACCGTAGGTGACGATGTCGGGCTTCACCCTGCCGTAGCCCCCCGGCAGCTCCTGCGCAGAGATCATGAGATGATGAGAGGCAATTTAAAGCCACTATACAACTCTCACATGCCACACAACGTCAACAAACAGAAAAGGCAGAGACAAAGAGCAAGGGGCTGAGCAGAAAGTCAATAAAATGACTAGGAAATAAGAGGGCAGGACGAAAACAGCTCTTTAAAAAGGCTGCATTTTGAAATGTTTCTGATGTTTTCGGGTTGGAGGGCTGAGTGGGTGAGAGAGTGAGTGCTGTCTGCTCCTCCTGCCCTCTTCATGGCTGGCTGACAGCAGTTGAGGGGGCTGAGGGACTGACTGGATCACAGAAAGTCTTAATCAGATCCCAAAGCAGATGTCTGCTTTTGGCTATGACTGATAAAAAGTAATGTGTGTGTGTGCGCGCGAGAACAGCTGATGGGATATGGATGAGAGATCAGGAGCTTACATTATGGTTCACTAGCTTATAAAGCAGAGGGTAGATGTCTGCGTGAGACAGCAAGTGTGTGTGTGTGTGTGTTCCTGGAGTAGCTCACCCAGGTGGTCATGCCTCTGGAGGAAAACCGAGCGATGTTGTCCTCAAAGTCGATCCCCCCGACCCCAATCACATCCATCTGGTCTGCTGGGTTGTTCAGGGTGCTGGGGGGGGGGACGACTTAAGTTTAATTAATTTACTTAAGAAGGAAAGGTTCACAGTTCCAGCTCATGAGAGAGCAGAAAAGAGTCTCTCTTTCCTATTTTGTACTTCTAATGGTCTTTTATAGACGTGTCAGCAGATGTTCAGCAGGGTCATAAAACGCAGTTGGCCAGGGGGGTCATTTGGGTAAATAAGGGGGTCAAAGTGGTGCATAGGAAGTAAGCATTTTCATGCAAATAAACAAGGATTTCATTAAACAACAAGAGAAAAAAAATCTTACACAATGAGAACATTTAAAA